TTTTTTGCCTAGGCAATGAATTAGCACAAGATACTCGTAAATTTATATCACAATACACATGTTTTTGTTTCCAATTACAAAATAATCGAGCTGAAGTTCAACAAATATAAACAAAAACTACAGCTCCTAGAATGCTGAAGTTCAGCAAATACAAAACAAACTTCAGCTCCTAGAATGCTGAAGTTCAGCAAATACTAAACAAACTTTCAGCTCCTAGAATGCTGAAGTTCGCAATTACAAAACAAAAACTTCAGCCAAAACATGTTGTAGTTTTATTGAATTGAAGTTTGCCATTGCACTATGAACTGAAGTTTGCGTGATTGCCTTTGCTACTTCAAGCCCGTATGTCTGTAGTTACCCGAAAAGTGGGTACGCTTACAATTCTTTTTGTAAAGCATAAGTTAAAAGGTGACCCAAAAACTGGATATAGATGCAAATTCCCCGTTGTCAATCCGCTTTGTCACCAAATCACATTATGCACAAGTTAATCTTTTTTCTTGTAAATATTTTGATTGTTTAATTCCATTAATACAATGTAGTAGGAGGTCCAAACATATTTTAGTTGGTAAGTTCAACTTCGTGCTATTTCAGCATTTTTTTAATTCCTTGTTCATAGTACTGCCAAAGAGATTTTTATCTTTGTAGTGTCGCAAAACCTCCTCCATTTATCTCAGAAAGGTTGAAAATCTTAGTAGTCCGATTGATTGGCTACCTGAGTTTCACCTGTTCGATTCCCACTTTGTAATCCCTTTCCTTTCCCCTATATATAATAACAAAATTAGAAAAAATATCTCAGGGAAGGTAAGGTGCTGATAGGGTACGGTTTCCAAGAACATTATCATGGTACAACATGTGAGACAATTTCCGTACATTAGCTATTCAAGAAATTAAACTCTGAAAAACAAAACAAATTTTAGATACAAGTCATATGGGATATAGAAAAGAATGAGCACATAGTATAAGGGTACAAGAATTGCATATTATTAGACTTGGAAGACAAGTTAAAAGAATATATTCACCAACATGCATGTGCTAATACATGAAAATGATGGAACTAAAGAATGTAAGGTCAAAACAAAGGCATGTGAGTTTGCCTACAAATTCAAGGCAAAAAATATATTTTATGTCGCAAGTGAGATGCTAGTCTTTTAATTCAATAATAGAACTGATTAATTTACGGCTTATCTGTTGGGAAAACAGTGTGGACTTTGAGGGAAAGGTAACGAACGTGGAAATAATTAATTTAGTTCTGTAGAGATAATTCATTTTCAATAATTTCTCCGGTCCATTTTAAGTGATTTTCTGGTATCTTTTTGTGGTTCATAATATTTGGTTTTTTCAAATATCAAGAAAGAATTAACTTTTTTTTTCTTCCAAAGTTGCACTTGGAGTAAAGAACCTAGAAGTATTTATTGTAATTTCAAGGAACAAATTAAGATTAATATGGTCAAATATATTGTTAATTAATGCTAAAATGTGGATTCTTAATATGTGTGAAAACAGTCAAAAAAAATCATTTAAATTGAATCGGAGGGAATAAAAAATATTATTTTTCTCCTAGCCCCCTCACCCCCACTTGCACTGATTGGGTATGTGAGGTGGTTGCATTAAACAAACTGCACACCTATTTAAGTAGCAGCTACTTTTCTTGGTAAACCCATTCATACATTTAATTCCATTTCCTCAATCTTATTTCTACTTCTGTTACTTTGCATCTACAAAGGAAATGGCCAAATGTGTCATTCTTGCACTGGGTTTCATAATAGGTTTCTTTAGTCTTTTCTTCAATGCAAATGCTTTCACAGCTTCTGGTTGGATGAGAGCTCATGCCACTTTTTATGGTGGGGCTGATGCTTCTGGCACAATGGGTAAGTACCAATATTTTCCAAACAAACTACTCCACCTTTATTATATTATATCAACTACGTACGTTTATTAATCTCAAACTAGTTCAGGTCGACTATATGAATATAGTTTGACTATTTTTGTGTAACGTGCGACAGGGGGTGCTTGTGGATACGGCAACTTATATTCGACAGGATATGGAACTAGAAGTGCAGCATTGAGTACTGCACTATTCAACAGTGGAGGATCTTGTGGGCAATGCTACAAGATCATCTGTGATTTCTACGCAGAACCGCGATGGTGCAAGAAAGGAGTATCTGTTACTATCACTGCTACGAACTTTTGTCCACCAAATTATGCACTTCCTAGTGACAATGGAGGCTGGTGTAACCCTCCTCGACAACATTTCGATATGGCTCAACCTGCTTGGGAAAAGATTGGCGTTTATAGAGGTGGCATTATTCCTGTATTCTACCAAAGGTAGAGTAATATCTTCTTAAAGAAAATAGTTCTGCTTGATTCAGGGTTCTTGGCTCGAATAATATCACGATAATTTACCGGGTTCAACAAGCAATAATAGTATTTAAAAATAACTTTAACTTCTATACACTCACATTGTATAAAAGTTTTTGCACTATCTGATCACCTAAATGATACTCCTTAACGGTTTGGAAAATAAGACAGGTTACCTGCTATAACATGTTAAAACATTGATAGCGTAAAAGTTCGTTTCTAGTGCATGTGTATGTAAGTTAATTAAATCCTACTAAAAATATGTGCACTTGCTCATTCAATGACTTAAATAGATTAATTACTTATTATAGCTCAACTATGAATAAGATTCTTGGCACATACTAACTTTTTAGGCAAGTAAATTTGAGAATGTGGGTGTTTATAAATTTCTTATTAATTTTGTGGAGCAGGGTCCCATGCAAGAAACGTGGTGGAGTTAGATTCACAATCAATGGAAGGGACTATTTTGAGCTAGTATTGGTAAGCAATGTTGGAGGGGCTGGATCCGTTCGATCTGTTCAAATCAAAGGCTCAAGAACAAATTGGATGACAATGTCTAACAACTGGGGAGCCAATTTTCAATCCAACACTTATCTCAATGGACAATTACTTTCCTTCAGGGTCACTACAACAGATGGTGTCACAAAAACATTCTTAAACATTGTTCCAGCTAATTGGCGATTCGGGCAAACATTCTCAAGTCCAACTCAGTTCTCGTAAAGTAAAGGATTTTAGAGTTCTTGGATTCACAGGCAGTGGTGTGCTTACATTTTAACGAAAGCATCCGCGCCCTGACCTTTGCTTTTCTTTTTTATTTTCTGGAGTCTTGATTATTGAGTATTTCTCCCTCGGGGAGGGGTAAGGTCTGCGTACCCACTACCCTCCCCAGACCTTACTTGTGGGATTACACTGGATTGTTGTTGTTGTAGTTGTTATTGTTTATTGAGGAGCTAGAGGTAAATAAGACCATGAACTCTAGTCCAAAGTTGGTGTAATAAAGTTGTTGAAATACTTATTTCTTTGTATGTAGACTACTGGCTTTTCTCTGTAGTATAAGATCAATAAGACGTTTTGCCTCAGCTGCAATCTTGAAGCTGAATACATGTGCTTTATATTTGTAACTTTTCAATATGATAATTTTCATGTTATAAATATTGTACCAATTGTCCTACTGTATTTTCTGCCATGTAGTAGTAGTACGTGTGAACTTGCTCTGGTTTCCCATATTTGTATTATATACATCCTGTACTAAGTGTCCCTCTTTTTGCTGCTAAAATACTTGTACAGTGACTTGTGCTTTTTAATATAGTTAAGTAGTAGTAGTAATTGCTTTAGATTTTTACGTAGCAAAAACATTCTGCCGCAGCCATGAATTCTCTGTTTTTTAATTTTGGTGACCGTCTCTTTTCTCATTTGGAAACAGCCTCTCTACATTCATTGTAGGGGTAACATCTATCCTTCCCAGACCCCATTTGTTGGGACTATATATAATGGGTTTGTTGTTATTTTTAATTTTGGTGACTGTGCTCAGATTTTACAACAGTAAATCTCATTTTGGTAAAATCTAGATAAATATACTCGAAATTCAAATAAATTCTTTGATGACAGTAATTCATTTTTCTTTTACTTAGTGATCACCAAAAGAGAAGATAAATACGAATCTGTTTTCACAAATGCGAGTGAGATTAAGCACGGGAGATAAAAAAATTGAATACACTAACTTTAAATCCTAAATTCGCCTTTACTATGATGAATTATGGTTAGATGGTAAAGTCCCAAGAAACATGCAATGACAAAAAAGTAGTTGGCCAGATCAGTAAAAAGTAACGGTACTTGGCTAGCGTTTGGCCATAGATCCCAAATTTATTTTGAAAAATCTGATTTGGGTGAAGTTTGATTTGAAGATGAAAATGTGTTTGGACATACGTTTTCAAAACATATTTTCCAACTTTATTTTGGAAAAATATGTATATAATTCCCAAGTTTTGGGATTTTGGCCCAAAATCAGCTCAATAGCTGATTTTGGGATTTGAGATTTGGCCAAAATATAAGCAAAATTTATGGCCAAACATGAGTTTTGAAAATAAATTCCAAATTTATTTTGGGAAAACTCATGGCCAAACGGGACCTTAGTTGCCCGGCAAACGTTCCTCTTTTTGGTTATGTTTTGAAATTTGAAGTTGTTGGAAATTAGAATTTTAAATTTAGAATAATAACCTCAGCAACAATTTCGGCTGCTTTAATAAATGGCCTTCCCTTTATTGGTTCAACTGGTCCATCAATGCAACAATAACATTCCTCAAAGTGGAAAAAGTTTGGTCATTTTGCTTACCTCAGAAAAAACGCACTTTACAACTGCTAATCAAACCTAAAAATAACGCTTAAGTTTAAGCTTGTGGTTAATCTTGTTATAACCAGCTTATTCTGTATTTTTTAAACTATTTAATTATTTCTTGGTATAAGTACACAATAGTTTAAAATGAATTAACTGACAATATTTGCTAGCTAGTAAAAATGTGCTAATTAAACAAGTCTTGTTTCAGTTCCCTATAATTGTTCTAGTTCAACAAACTCACTAACGAACATATCCAATCCCCTATAACAACTCTCCTTGTAGTCTTTTGCCCTCTCTCTCAGTCCTTACCATTTAAATGCCTATTGTACTACCTCGTTAGCTCTCACATTCAACTGCCAAGTCAAGATTGAGCACAAGTTTTGCCAATTTCAATCATTGTGATGACATTAACTAGCTCTCTTATTGCTCTAGTTTCTGTTGTTATTCTCTTTTCAACTTCTCTCCAACCTGCTGTGATCGCACTTAGCTCCGATTACTATGACCAGACATGCCCCATGGCCGAGTCAATCATCACCAAAGTTGTCAACAAAGCTATGTTGAATGACAAAACAGTTCCAGCCGCACTTCTAAGGATGCAATTCCATGATTGTTTCATCAGAGTAAACTTCTACTGTTATTGCTATATGCCGTATATATTAGCACTTATCATCACCCTTATTTTGCAATAATTACATATTTTCTTTAGTAACTTATTGTGGTATACTTATTATATATATATATATGAAAGGGTTGTGATGGTTCTGTGCTGCTGAATTCGACAAGAAACAACAAAGCAGAGAAAGATGGACCAGCCAATATTTCATTGCACGCGTTTTATGTAATTGACATTGCTAAGAAACAAATTGAGGCTATGTGTCCTGGAGTTGTGTCTTGTGCTGATATTGTGGCTCTTGCTGCTAGAGATGCTGTTGCTCTTGTGAGTTTTGCTTCAACTGTAATTTACCCCATGCAAAAAAGATAGAGTAACAGTGCAACATTACTTTTTGCTAAAAAGGGAAAAATGAAAAAATAGTGTTATTACCCTGACACACATATATTACTCCATATGTTCTTTTTGAGTAGTAGTCCATTTGAAGATTTTAACTCAAATGTTTTTGGCATTAAATACTAAGGTGAAATAACTTTTTTCTGACATATAATTTTAGTCGGGAGGTCCTACTTGGGATGTGCCTAAAGGAAGAAAAGATGGTAGAATCTCAAAGGCCATTGAAACGCGACAATTACCAGCTCCCACCTTCAACATTTCTCAACTGAAACAGAGTTTCTCTAAGAGAGGCCTTTCATTGGATGATTTGGTTGTACTTTCAGGTAAACCAACTACACTTTAGTCAACGAATTAATACTATGTCTCAATCCTAAACAAGTCAGTGTTGGACATATGAATCCTCTATACCCATTGCATGTGCTCTATTTAGTGGAATTTTTTATCATGCTAGTTAATGAAATAAATCACAATATTTCTTGTTTCACCTTATAGGAGGGCACACTCTCGGATTCTCTCATTGTTCTTCCTTCCAAAACAGAATCCACAACTTCGACAATAGTCACACTATTGATCCAGCATTACAAGCATCATTTGCAGCCAGTTTGCAAAATGTTTGCCCCATGCACAACAAGGTCAAGAATGCAGGAGCTACCATGGATTCTACTACAACGTTATTCGACAACGCCTACTACAAATTACTAATGCAGGGCAAAAGCCTTTTTTCTTCAGATGAAGCTTTGCTCACTACGTCAAGAACCAAAACATTAGTTTCAAAGTATGCTAATTCCCAAGATGAGTTCTTTAAAGCATTTACCAATTCTATGATCAAGATGAGTAGTATTAGTGGTGGTGGACAAGAGGTTAGGCTGAATTGTAGATTTGTTAATTAGGTGATAAGCCTGATTTCTTTAATGTAAATTGGAAGCTCTTCATTATTTGTGTAGTTATAATTAATTTTTCAGAAGAGCTAAGGATCAAATGAAAAAAGCAAAGCTCATATTGTGTGTTTTGTGGTCAAGTTTGAAAGGATTTGATGAAAGATTTGTTTAAGCATGGTTTGTTTGTACCTGATTTAACTGCATTATAAACTTTAGAAAGAAATTGTACGCTGTAACAACTCAGATAATACACCAAACCAACTGATTGTTTTAGCTCAACACTAGCTGTGATACAACGCATATGCTAACGAAAGTAAGGATAGGACAGCAGAAACCTAAGAAGAAAGGGGATGAGTATTAGACAGATACAACATCAGAGATGAGAAGTATAGAAGGAGAACAGAGATAAGAGAGCTTAATACTTTGACAACTTCAGCATAAAATGTACTACGCTTTCTACTGTATTTATAACTAATTCTCTCACGTTGCACTTCATGCAGTGATCACCAGCTGCCTACGCTCAAAATGGGTCCCACACATAATTTTTCAAATCTCCAAATATGTCCTTCACCGATCACTTATTGAGTTCACAACATACACTTCGTCCGAGGAGAGAATATTGCCTTAGGTTTTGATTTTAGCTTATCAACAGTCAAAGTCTAAAATTAGCATCTCTTTATTCTGGACAATTGTTACTCCCAAACGCACACGCAAGTATACGTGGTCGACAAGTAATATAGGATTATAAGTCAAGATATCGTACCCACAGGGACTTGTGATTAACTATCAACTAAATTAAACCAAACAATTAATCTATTCAAGCAAATCTTAAAGTATGAATATTTAACTAAAGATAATCTAGAGTAGTAAACTAAGAGATTAAAGAAAACAAGTTGGTGAAATATAGAGACGAATTCAATGTGAGTGAATATTCTAGAGCTATGGGTTAGCTAACAATCCCGTCGAGTTTTTCACTTAAATTATCTAATTAATTTATCGAGTTTATTGATTGACGGGGTTAATATTGTTCGTAGCCTTCTCCAGAAGTACAACTCGCCTATTCAAGCTAACCTAACGCTTATATTCCTATGGAATTAGGATTAACAAGAACGCATTTATAATTCCCGTATAATAACCAAGCAAGGCGATTAGGTATATTCCTATCCTAACCGCAAATCCGCTCCCCCTAAGAGTTAAGATCTTGCTCTACTCAATCTTATATGCAATCTAGAATTCCCTCTCCCGAGTTCAATCCTAGATTCGTAAATAGTATTCAATTGGTGATCAATCAATCAAATAATTAAGCGCAAGATTGAATAAATAAACCAATATGATAAAATAATAAGAACAATTCAAGCTTCAAACTACAATGTTCATGTAGCACCCAAAACTCTAGAACTAATAAACTATGAAATTAAAGAAAGAGAAGAGAAGAAAAACTAGTTAGAAGCCTCCTCCAAGCGTGGTGTGTGTTATCACCAAAAGTGCGTCCTCTACCGTCCAAAAATTCACTCTAAAAACGTTCTCTCATGTATATATACCAAGTAGGGTTGGGCCCAAATAATTATACCTTCTCCAATGTGAAAAATGACACTTTTCCCGGGTGACTCGCGCGAGCTCGCGCGTCTTTCGCGCGGTCTTCGCGCACCTTTCTGCCTCGGCTTGTAATACGCGCGACTTCCCGCGTTCTTCGCGCGTTTTTCACCCTGTTCCGTTCCGAATTTGGAAAAACATAAAACATGAAAGTTGTAGCCCTTTGAGTTAGATTTCCAACCATATATTGTGGATCCAAAATGGAGTTCTGAGCAAAAAGTTATATCTATTTTACTAGACAGTGCGCAATCTGCCTACTGAAGTCTTCGTTTGCTCTAACTATCATCCGTTGACCCCCAAACGCGATGCCGGCTCGTGTCCTTGGGCTTTTACCCAGACTTCAAAGCTCCAAATCACTTGAATTCATTCCATAACATCTACATAGTTCGGAATCACTCCTACAAGGCATAAAACACACAGTTAGTGCAAAACACTAGCGATTAAAGCGCAAACTCAATTAAAGTGCAGTAAATTAGAGTGTAATAATCGACTAAAATACGTAATTATAGCCTATCATCAACAATGAAACAGTTCAACGCAAAAAAGTGTTTTATTTGGAAGGTATGCACCCCTCAATTACCAGATAAGGTTATAATGAGTTAAGGACTAACATCAATGGGAGAGTTAATTAGAACTTTAAATAAGGAAGAACCCTTCTTTTTTCCTTTCATTTTATATCTTTCTTGACTTATTTTAAATAAATACACTGCGATTCTTATCTAAGTCCTGACCAATATAAGTTTGTTTTTTGGGTTCGAAAGGATAAATTTTAATTAAAACAATTTAACCAATATTTTTTCGGTTCAAAAGGATGATATATTAAAACAATGTAAACAAAGTCATTACGAGCAATCTCCTATGTAATTAAGCCGATCAAGAACTTTATATAAGATTGTATTTAATTGGTTAGACCATATCATTAGACACTATGACATATGGCATGAGTTTGTGTCTCAATATAAAATGGACCTTGGCCTTACAACTAATAAAGTTAACTCATTTTTTATCCAAATTAATGGTTCAACCCTAATGAGATTAGATTTAATTCAATTCCATATGTGTAAGTGGACCTAGAAAATCCAATTGAAATCTTAGTGCTCAGAGTCTCATGGGAGATTATATTTCCTAATTGGCTTGTAAACGAGGATTACTTCTTTAATACTCCCTAATTTACATTGTTTATGAGAGAAAAAAAGGTTTCGCCATGTGTTTAGGGGTGATAAAATGACAAAAATGTTCATTTATGTTTGGTGTTGATCCAAAATTGTCCTTTACCACCTAGCATTATTAAGGTTGTTTAATTCACTAACAAGGGCAATATTGGGTAATTACTTTTGGTCAAAAGTAGATGTTTGAGCCTTTTTAGTAAGTAAATCACATTTTCTCTCCCGACAATTAATTTTCTTAATAAAATAGGAAAATAAAACTTTGGAAAAGACAGAGAAACACTCGCATTGATCACTGAAAACCCTAATTTTCCCGTTCAGCTTCTCACCTGAACCCTCATTTTCCTCTGATCATTTCGCTTTCTCTTCTCGAATCTTCCAGCTGAAGTTTCCAGAAGTTTCCTATTGTTTGATGGCCATGCCGGCCGATTCTTCAGCGTCTAACAACTCGCCGCTTTCGCCTGTCACCACCGTTGACGGTAGCTCCGCCGCCGTCAACAGTCCTCAGTCTCGCCGGAGTTTAACCTCTCCTTGGGCACAAGTCGTCCGCGGTGGCAGCGACGCTGAAACAACCACGGTCACCGCTCCTCGCTCCCCGTCAGCATCACCATCACCGCCGGAGCAAGTTTCGGTTCCCGATAGCTCGGCTCAGAAAATTTCTCCGGAGAATGAGGTTTCCGATAGTCAGCCTGAGAGCTCCAGTGGTACTAATGATGCTTTAGGTCCTCCGAAAAAGCCTGCTTGGAACAAACCTTTAAACGGCGTCGTTGAAGCCGGTTCGGTTATGGGTGGTGCTGTTGCTTGGCCTGCTCTCTCCGAGTCTACTCGAGCCATCCCGAAATCGTCTTCGGATTCATCGAAACCAGTTGCAGATGGATCAAACACACTTTCTCAGGTTCATTTCTCTGGATTTTCTAATGTTTTAAATTTTTTACTGCTGCTTCGAGTATGTTGTTTCATATATGTTTATGTGTATAGTTAGGCTTTATGAAATCGAGTTTAAAAATGGCTGCATTGGTTTTTCTGTTGATGTAGAGGAAATAGGATTTGTTTTAGCTGTATGTTTGATTGATGTAGGCGTTTTTATGAATAGGGACCTGTCATTTCACCGTTACCGCAAAAACAAGCTAATAGTAATGCAAACTCACAATCAAATGCAAATCACACAATGCCGGTTAGACCAAGATCAATGAAGCATCGCGGCGGCAGCAGCAGCAGTGTTGGTAGTGGCCTGGGTAGTGGATCTAATCAGAGCGGCTTTAGTCGGGCTCCACCTCCACCTCCACCCCCACCGCCATTGCCACCACCATTTCCTGTGATGCCTTATGGGAATTTGTTACCGCCTGTTCTTGATCCTCGTGTAAGAGGTCCTAGACCCATTGGAGGAGTTTCGTCTCAGCCACATGGAGGTGATCACTCTTCACATAGAAATCCAAACAGGAAGGGAAACTTTGGGGCCCGACCCCGTGGAGATGGATCTTATCATAGTAGGCGTGATCAAGATCGGAGAGATGTCCACCAAGCCCCTCAATTTGTTCCTCCTCCAGTAGGGTTCATAACACCCCAGTCCCCTGGTTCTGCCCCATTTATGCCTGCACCTTTGAGACCCTTTGCTAGTCCAGTGGGATATGGTAAGTCTTCCTTAGCATCTGTTCATTATCTAGAAGCTAGAAATTATCACTTATTTCTTTGGTTCCTTTCAGATATGCCACCTCAATTCATTTATGTCCCCACGATGCCTCCAGAGTCCTTTAGGGGTGTTCCAATTATCCCGCCACCTCCACCACCACCACCGCCTTTCTTTTTTCCAGTCGTGGATCCAAACTTACCTTCCTTGTTGGTTAAACAGATAGAATATTACTTCAGGTATTTGTGATTTGGACTATTCTTTCTTTCTTTCTTCTTCTCTTTTTTTCTTTTCCCCCCCTCCCTTATGAAAGCCAATTTTGTGGTCCCTTTCAACTTCTTCCCCCTTAATCTTGAGTTCTTTAAAGAGAATCTGCTGACAGAATCTTTTATTTGTTGCAGTGATGATAATCTGGTGAAAGATGACTTTTTGAGGTCCAAAATGGATGAAGAGGGATGGGTTCCTATTGAATTGATTGCTAACTTTCCTCGTGTAAGTGATTTAACCTGGTTCTCGATTTCAATGGGAAGGTGTTTGATCACTGCTTGAGAAGTCCTAAGATTTTTACCTCCTATGGCCTTTTATTAGATTTTGAGACCTCAGATACCTCCACGAAAAGTAGCTTCATGTCTCCTCTTCCTTCGTCTTGTCTTCCTGTTATTAGTACCTAAATTGTTTAGCAGTGAATACTGATACTTTTTAGATACATAAAATTATCTTGAACCTTGTTTGCTGAAGATTCCATTGGTTGATTAAACATCTTTCTTTTCCACTTATAGAGAAGTCCTAAGATTTTTACCTCCTATGGCCTTCTATTAGATATAAATGGTTTTGAGACCTCAGATACCTCCACGAAAAGTAGCTTCATGTCCCCTATTCCTTCGTCTTGTCTTCCTGTTATTAGTACCTAAATTGTTTAGCAGTGAATACTGATACTTTTTAGATACATAAAATTATCTTGAACCTTGTTTGCTGAAGATTCCATTGGTTGATTAAACATCTTTCTTTTCCACTTATGCAATGATATCTCTGGTAAGTGTTTTACTCAGTCTACTTTAAAAAGGATTGTTGCTGGATTGTAATATCTTCCTATTTCATGTCAATGTTTCCTGTTGATTTTAGCATTATATTTACCAGTTTTGATACTGTCTGTGTGTCTAATGAAGGATATTATTGCAATTGACAGAAGTAGGTTTCATTTAAGCTAAACTAATTATCTTGCAGCTTCATTCATAACTTTCTTTTTTTTGTTACATTTCTTGCTCTTTCTGAACTCGAAGGTCAAAATGGAAGTTCATTCTCACTCTTATATTCAGTTCAAACTCGACATCCAAATTTTAAGTTTTGCCAACTTTTTCTGAGTTCTGAAATTTACCAAAGATCTAAACCTTGCCTTTTCTTTCACCCAACTGTTTTCAGGAGCATTGTGTCTATATCCAATTGCAATTTGTACCAGTGGCATATATGATTCTTCATAATGGATGTTTGGCTTCTTGCTACTTTTATTTGATCTAAAATCGATGCAATTATACATCTAAGTCACAGGATTTTTTGCTATTATCAAGTGGATAAGTAGGACTTTCCATATAATAACGATCAAATGATGAAACCCATCTTATTTATATCTATTTTCTTTGTTGTTTGATCTTGTGGTTAAGCTACTGCTACATCATTGAAAGTTCCTAAATTATTTTAGTATTCATCATGTCAACTAGATAAAGACTTTAATGACTTTTAGTGAGTTCTGTCTTGAGGTATTGAATTCTTTTTTCTAAAATGTAGGAGTTTTGACTTGAAATTGTAATTATATTTTTGAACATTATTCTTCTGTATAGTACGCTGAGCTTTGACAACAGGACAACATTTTCTTGCCTTCTAGGTGTTTTTCATTTCTGTGTTAGTATTGCCCATGCACAGATCAAGGTTTTGCTCTATGGTTTCTTTTTTCAGGTTAGGCATTTGACAAACAATATCCAGTTTATCTTGGACTGTTTGAGGGCTTCAACGCTTGTGGAAGTGCAGGTATTGTGTGAAATAAAAATTCTAAATCAACTCTTGTTGTTATCATATCGGAGGAGGCAGCTATTGCCTTGGAATATTTTGTGGGAATTGCTGCAGTTTAAGTATTTATCCACTGCCTTTTGGAAAATTATAGTAGTTACAGCATGATCATTCTGTTTAGCTGCTCTTCTTTTGTCCATTATTATACACTAGGGCACCAATGAATGCATAAAGGCTGCTAAAGTTATTTGTCTTTGAATTGTCTGGCTTGAGTTTAATGCATGTTGTAATATTTCTTATTTAAAAGACGTGGGTGAGATTTCCAAATTTCCCTGCATAAATTCAATGGGTTTTCTTTTCTTTCTTTCTGTTTTTTTCTTTTTCAATTCAAAGAAATTGCAGTGACAAGTCTTTTATTAATTCTTCAAATCATATCTTATGACGTCACGGCCGGTTTTGGGATTAATTAACTGGGGACTGGGAAGCGGTTGAAAAGCTTCTTTGATTCTAACAACATGTATTTTTTTTCCAGAGCTGTTGTTTTTAAGCGTTTTGTGGTTGGTGATATACTCACAGAAATTCTATAATGAATCAATTATTTAAATCCATATACGGGGGTGGATCTAGCACTATTGATGTGGCTTCATTTGAACCCATAACTTTTAACGTAGACTTGGATTTATCTGTGTGAAACCAACCCACTACCCACTGGAAATGTTGAAAATACTTAACTATGAACCATAGCTCAAACAAGGTGCTGGATTCAGTGGTTGGAACTAGTGTTCTGAACCCATAGAACTAAATCCTGGATCTGCCTCTGTCATATACTCATAAGAAATTTCCAATGTGATGTAGTAAGAACATGCACTGTGAACTATATCACTGGATTCACATTGTCTGTTGTAGTGGGCTGTTGAGCTGTTGAAAATTGAACTCTGATGTTGCATGTTCTTAATATGACTATTTTTCACAGGATGATAAGGTAAGGAGACGTGATGATTGGAAGAAATGGATACATACTTCTGGCCATCTTACAGCTGATTCAGGCTCTCAAACTCCTGGTGGATCGACGAAAAATGCTCTAACGAGTTCGTTCCAGGAGGTCTCTTTGGGTGAATCAGGTAACGACAAAAGTAATGATGTGGATCGGCGAGATGTTCAAGTCGAGGTGGCTGTCAGTGGCTTATCGGAGGAATTGACTAGCCAGTCAAAATTGGTTCAGGAAGGTAATGCTGAAGAAATCTGTTCCGGCCACGCAGGAAGCAGTCAAGTTGGTTGAAAGTTTTTGCATCTTCAGTCATGGTTGTTGGACTATGTTGGGTAGTTCTTGTCTTGAAGGAACATGTCTTTGGAAAATCGACAGGTACATCATTGCTTCAATTTTGACCCTGCTGAGACCAGATTTTTGCACCTTTCGAGGTGAGTAGGTGGAAAACAAATAACGTATAACTTATCTGGTATAGAGAATGAAAAGAAGGGGGACATAAAAAGGATACAAAGTTGATTGGCTTGAAGTTATTAGTTTTTTGGCTTGTACACTTGCAATATGGATGCAGTGTGGGATTCCATTGCTATTCAATGACGTGGATTTGTTTTGTGCTTTGCAGTGAGGAATTTTTTGGGGTAATTTGTCTCCGTGTGCTTGGAAATTCAGTAGAAAGTTACTGAAATGTAAAAAGTTCTTGGCTGTTAAAGAGAGCAGTTGAGCTCTACTGATTTTTTTGTTATACTTATCTAGGCATATCTGCTTGAATTATTTTTGTATTTTGATATTTATTAAGTTTCACTTTGCCTCTTTTTGCTCCTCCTATGATCTAGCTTTAGTATAGTTGGTTCTTTTATACAGATCTTGTGTTCTGTTCTCTTCTTATTGCAAACTTTCTCTTAGCGTGGGAGAAATCTGTGTTGAAGTATTGAACATGGAATAGAATGTTCAATTCCTTCCAAGTTCTAGTACTAGTACTTAATAACACTATATGGTTTGTTTGGTCCTTGATTAATCTTCCTGCTCCATTACATACCCGGCTCTTGCATAAGTTGTGGTTGCCTTTAAGTGAAGAGGAATTAAACAAAGTATGTGGTTCTTGACCATTTCCCTAGAAGAGTCTGAATTTCATGAAATTTATGGCTGTAATGTTATCAGATATCAAAGAATAACTTGCCTGCCGTTATTGCATTGCTCACCATTAGTGGTTCTTTTCATGTTGAATCGTGAAAAGGGGGTAGGCTTCTCCTGTCTAACCAAAAACCGATCTGAACTTTGAGATGCAATATATGGTTGCTGAAATGTTAGGAGTTAGGACTAACAGACTTGTCAAATGACCAGCATGCACATGTGGATTTGAAGATCGGCCAAGACGGATTAATGCAAATAAAGGTTTGATTTGTCTCCTAACTAAGCTAAGTTTATGGAAGGCCAAATACAACTTGGTCTTTTTTTCATTTGGACACTTAAACTAAAGTTTGTTCCTATTGAACACCTTAACTCAAGTCCAAATGTATCTATTAGACACTCATTGATGACATGTCAAGGTGTGTGTGCTACACTGTGAATGAGCGCTTGATGCTCTCTTTTTCTTATCAATCTTCTTTTTCTCTTTCTTCCTCTCCCTCTCCCTCCCTACCATCCTCTACCTTCCGTCATTAATCTACCATGTTCTTCAACTGAAACAATCCACTATATTCTTCAAAGACTTGATTTTGTCAAGAGCACAAATATGGAATGAATTTTTATAATTGCACCAGCTTAAAAAGCTTGTTATCAAAAAATTTAGAACAAAGGACATCAAAATTTAGCTGAGCAGTATCAAGGCTGTTATTACACTGTATTTGTAAAATAAATTCTGGAAATATAAATGAATATAAATAGTAATGAATATAAACAGAAATGACATAAACCAATTCGAGCCCACTGAATTCACAGTGTTTCCTTAAGGAATTTAATCCCCTCCTAGTACCCAAGGTTATGGATTATTTCCTCCCAGGATAGAACGAATTACACACTGGTGTAGTGGTACTTCAAACCCCAGTGTTTCAGCGAACACAAAGTTCGGTAGCAAATCACACTTACTTTTTGCTTTGTTTTGATGCTAAAAGTATGCAGAAGAAGGAGAGGAAACTCAGAAAATTGTAGTTAAAATTCTGAGCAGAATAGTGTTGTATTTATAGCCAAAGTTGGGTCTCTTCAGAATGGCTGTTTATGCAAAATGCCCACAACATAAATGCCATTACATAAATGGCCATTTACTCAATAATAAAGAGGGAAAATAAAGAGGGAAAATTGAAGAGGGTAGTACTTTCTGTTACAAACAGAAAACGATTGGATTATATATATTTGTATTAACCAATATTATAACATTTCTGTTAATATTTACTATTAACAATAAATTAGGTCCAAAAGTTAATCAATCAATCGATGATTTGACCAAATCCAAATCCAAATCCGAATCCGAAAGCCGAAGCCGAAGCGAAGCCGAAGCGTAGCCGTAGCCCGAAGCCGAAGCGAGCCAGAGCGACGGACGACGACGACGGCGCGAGGCTTGCCTTCTTCTCACTCTTTAAGAGCTAGAAGAAGAGCAATTGCTTATATACCCATAAAAAACCTCTTCCTCTTCCAATATGGGACATGCCCATTTGCCAATGGAGGGGGAACTTAAAATTTCACTCAAAAATTTCATTTTCCCTCCATTTCCCATTCACCCTCTTTTAAGTATTTAATATATTAATTAAATACCTTAAAAAACCCAACAATCCCCCACATGAATGGGGAATGGCTATATCACGGAAGTATGCATGGAAAACTGTGTGATTCACAAGTAAGGATTAATTGCATCTGGATAAGTAGGTTTTTCCCTTTGAACTTTCCGTAGTGAACTTATGTCGGATATTACTCGATCAATCGGTAGATTTGATATCTTTTGAACCGTCGAACTTTGTGTATACCTAGACAACCACAAGTCACACAACCAACACCTTAAACCGTCTTTGGTTCTCATTGTTGTGTTCGTTTCAGCCATGAACACCCCTGGTTTCATAAGTGCGTAGAGAACTGGCCTTGCTGTGTTCTCCTTGAAGCGGCTAACACTTCACACTTACATAGGTGATTCCTTAAACGTGTCATCCCGTAGATACACTATTTGATATACCCTGTATCAAATTTATAGAAATCATTAAAAAGCCTTAATGCTTTATCCTTGGTACTGGAACATTGTCTCATCACGAGAATGGACCAAAAGTTTAGTTGAACAATGTTGAACCGTCATAAATGACTTTGTTTAATCTCCTTGAACGTAGATCTTGGGATCTCCAGTCTTCTAGGTAGAGTTACGCCACTATGACTTGTTTCTCGGCCACAGTCCCATTCCCTTTGATGACTTCTCAACTACCTCTCTAGTTAAGCCTTTGTAAGTGGATCCGACACATTATCACTTGACTTTACATAGTCAATCGTGATAATTCCTCTAGAGAGTAATTGTCTAACGTTTTTATGTCTCGTCGTATATGGCGAAGACTTACCTGTTATACATAACGCTCCCAGCCCTTCCAATTGCCGCTTTGACTATCACAATGTATGCATATTGGTGCCAAACGGTTTGGGCCAAATGGAAATATCTTCCAAGAATTCCGGAGCCATTCAGCTTCTTCACCGGCTTTATCCAAGGCTATGAACCTCAGCTCCATTGTAGAGCGGGCAATACAAGTTTGTTTGATGACTTCCAAGATACCGCTCCTCCACCAATAAATGAATACATATCCACTGTGGACTTGGAATCATTGATCGGTGATCCAATTTTGCATCACAGTATGACCTCAATGACCGCAGGAATATTTTTGTAATGCAAAGCAAATTCCTGGTATGTACTAAATACCCCAAAACCGTTTCATGGCCATCCAATGAAGATTGGCCTGGATTGCTCGTATATCGATCCAATTTGACTTATAGCACAAGCTATATCTGGTCGTGTACAATTCATGATGTACATTAAGCAATCCCAACACACGAGCATAATCCAATTGTGATATGCTCTGACCTTTGCTCTTGCTAATGCAAGATTCACATCAATTGGAGTGCTTTGCAATTTTAAAGCCCAAGTGCTTGAATTTTTCAGAGTACTGTCTTATATAATGAGATTGTGACAATGCTAGAACCTTGAAAGTCTTTATGGATCTTAAATTCCCAGAATTAAATCACAACATCCCAAGTCTTTCATATCAAACTTCTAGTTAG